ATAAATAAATAAATAAATAAATAAATAAATAAATAAATAAACAAATAAACAGCAGCCCTGTCAAGGCGGATGTGGAAACAAGCAACACTGCAGGGTGGGATTCCATCATGACAAGCCATGTGCTGGGCAGTGTGTCCCAGTCCAGGAAAGGCCTGTGAAGCTGTTTCTACACCACAGGTCTGGGACGAAGGCTCCTGCTCACTGGGATACTGTGACCTTTTTTCCAGTCTCCCATGGGAGTCTGTCTGTCTGGGCATCACTGCTACTTGCTCACATGGTCACTCTTCTCACAGCCCCTCACCCCTGGGATTGGCCCTCCCATATCTGCTCCAGATGCACACTGGACTCCTGTTCCCAAGAAAGCTGTCCATACTGAGGTCCAGATGACACTGCCTTTCTGGAGGGACCTCCCTTGGGACTCACTTCCAGCAGGACATGGACCACCACTTTCTATGACTTGTCCTGTTTGCTTCCATAAGCATGTCACCTTGCCTATCATCTAGGTTTCAGAATGTCACAGAGAGGTGATGCCATCACATGATATTTTGATTGTCAACAATAGGCTCAGGTGGCATGGTTCTCTCATCTGTGTGATTTGCTTTACATCTTATGTGGATTGATGAACACACAGAAATCTGCTATGTCAGGGAAGAAGACAGATTGCTTTGGGTGAAATCTTGTCTTTAATATGAGATGCAGGGCAATTCTATGAGCGGTATACAGTCAGGTTCACTTTCAGCTATGCTATCCATCTCCTAGGACACAGCAGTGATAATGCACCTGTTTGAAACTAAGCTACCCATTTCATACTGGCTGCTTTTGCTCAGCAACTTGTTCTTAGGCCCAGGTTTCCCTTCAGGATGAAATGGAACCCTGGGCAGCACTTGGAATGATCCCAACTTAGGACTCAATAAGCTCTCAGTGACTGCTGCTATGGCCTAGAAGAATGTCTTCACTTCTCAGGTCCCAGGGAGCAGCACTGGCAGGTGTCATGCACCTGTGGGAGGTGGGAAGTCCTGAGGTCACGTGGGCGTACCTCCCGAAAAGCAATGTGGGTCCTAATTGACTCTTTCTGTGCTTGCCCCTGTTCAGAACCCCCAAGTCATGAACAAAACAACCTTTCCAATTTGTCAGTTAGTTGCCTCAAGCATTTTATTACAGTGATGGAAAGCTTGAAACAGGAACTGGGAGGTGCTGACAGCTCATCTTATTTGGTTACAAGCCACCTCAAACAATACTTAGTGTCTCCTTTACTGGACCATAACTCAATACCTTAGGTTTTTTCAATAGAACAAGGCACAGGTCTGAGGTTAGACCCTGAGAACTGTGGAAAGACCTACATTCGTTTTCACCAAACAGAAACTACGTAACACACTCCCCAGACCTGTCAATTACTCAGGTCCTGCCCCCTTGGGAAGAACCTTAAAAGTTATACTTTCCAATAGCATCTCAAATGACCCAGCCTTCCTTCAGTGTACACAAGGTACCATGGCCTGATCCAGCGTGTGCTCTCAGCAGATGTGCCATGCACGGGGAGAGCAGGCTGGTGGAGGAAGGAAGGAAACAGAATGCCTGTGTCTGTGCTGAGACCAGACAGACAGAGCTGCAGTGGAGTTTGTAAATGGAGGCACCTTGCTTCTAGCCTGTCACACACTTTGCAAACACATCACTTCACCCAGACCAGGAAACGCCAAGCCCTGGGTTAGGTCCCAGGCTCAGAGCCATCAACAAGGAAGCCATGGCCTCCACCCTGTAGTTCAGGAAGACAGTCCACTGCACACAGTCTTCACACACAGTGGAGGTCTTCAAGCTCTGCTGGAGGCAAACGGCAGGCAGATGACTTCCCTGAGCCCAATCTCAGAGGCAAAAGAGGAGCCTCTTGCTCACCGGCCCCTCCCCCTCACCTGCCGGTTCCACCCTCTCTACACTGAGAAATGCTCTCTGTGCTACTCATGTGCTTATTCATGACTCAAAACATGTCTACAGGCCAGGACTTCCAAACATAAACCTGGGACTCCAAGGCTGCTCTCCAGTGCATGTCTGACGGGCAGGGGAAGCTCGACATACACCTTGCTCTGAACCTGTCTACTAAGCCCTTCTTCCATGGTTCTGGCCAGTCTCCAAGTTGCTATTTCATTCAGTCCCTCAGATTAAAGCTTTAGATCAGCCAGGATTCTGTCTCATACATCCAGCAGTCAAACTTATGGCAGCGCCTGCTGGCTCTCCCTGCATCCTATCCAGAGTCCAGGCACTTTCCCCTGCAATTACGGAGTTGGCCAGCCATCCTTTGTCTGTATGCATAGGCCAACATGCATGGGCTACATCTTCATTCGACCCATGTCTTCACCCACTAGGTTTCCTCACTTCTTGCCTCCGTTCTGTTATGTCTGCTGTTCCCTCCCACAATGCATGCTGACAATGTGCACTGAGTTCCTGTGAGGGTCTTCCTCATGTAGCTACTGAACACACAGCTTGACCTGGAATATGGAGCCCTACATCAGGCCACAGAGGAGACATAAACGTCTGTGAGTTGTTCACGTACAAGAAGTATGAAATAATTTGAGGCTACACCTGAAGAGCAGGGTACTGAAGAAAGCCTCCAAAGGAGACTAAGATGGAGAAATTTAAAGTCTTAAAAGCAAGCTGCAAGTTTGTTGCAGCAGAATGCAAAAAAGATAAGGTGGTCCTTGAGCTGAAAACTTGGGTCAGATGAGCTCTGAAGTGGGTCCTGCCACCACTGCCATCACTGGTAGCCCACATTCTGATCAACTGTAAAAGCAGCAATCAGCTCTCAGTTTCTAGTGGAAGGTCAACATGACCATGTGGAGAGAGCTTGCATGACTTGATATGACTAGCAACAAAGAGCAGGAAGAAAGGGAGTCTTGACAGAAGGGAGGGAGTCACATGGACAGGGTTATAAAGGAAGGGGTGTAGTTACTGAGACCCAAGAAAGGGGAGGGACTGACAATGAAGCCGAGACAACAGTCCTTAAAAAAGAAGCACTGGGTGAAGCACTGCTTTGCAAGCGCAAGGACCTAGGTAAAAAATGCCCGGTGTGGCGGTACATGCAGGGGAGCTGGGAGGAAGGTGTATCTCTTCAGTTTGCTGGCCGGCCAGCCTAACCTGCTGGGCAAGTTCTAGGCTAATGAGAAACTATATTGCAAAAAACAAGATGGATGCCAACTAAAGAGCAAGGGCCAGTCATCCTCCCTGTATATAAGCATGTATGTACACACAGAGGAACAGACAGACAGACAGACACAACACACCACACACACAGTTCTTGTAACTGGGGAACACCGACAGCTATCCACTCAGGGAGTTCCTGAGTGACAGCATGAGGGCAGGCTATCCACGAGAGTGGGTGGACAGAGACAGCAGGGAGGAGCAGCAGAAAGCGGATGGACAGAGCCAGAGGAGGCGGGACAGGACTCGGGGAAGCCGGGGCACGGGGCACCTCAGGCTGGCGCTAGCAGATGTGCGCTAGCGGATGTGCAGCGCTCTGTGCTGTGTTGAGCACAGCTACAGCAGTGGCCCCGCCATCATGAATCACGCAAAAGGCACTCCCCACGCAGCAGACACACACAACACCCGTCTGCCTGTCCTACCCAACAGCCACGGCCACTCACTCACTGCCTCTCTTTCAGCACAGTGTCTATTCCCACATCTTACAAAGGAGACAAAACTTTCACAGAGCAAGAGGCACCCATCTCCTTAGGGAGCAAAAGATCTAGAACAATGTGAGGTCGTTTCCCATGGAACCAAAAGTCATCCTGAAGACTTTTTTTCTCTTAGAAAAAGAACACTCGTGAGCAACTTCACTTTACTAAGAGCAGCACGGTCAGGGGGACTAGGGACTGTCCAGTACACAGCTCACAGTGCCGCCGTCTCTGTGGAGATGAGATTAGCCGTGTGCACCGGTGTCATGCCTCCTCTTTAGTACAGTGCCCACTACACATCATGTAACTTCTAGAGCAAGGCCTTGTCTTTATGGCAGTGGCAAATGGCTGGTCCAGTTGTATCTGAAGCAGCATGGACTGAGGTTTTGCTTTTGTGGCTGCAATGTGGGCAAAGGGCCCAGGGCCCATAAAACTCAGAAGTGTAGTATTGCTAAGTGTGGTATAGAGGCATGAAATGCTGGCTGAAAACCACAATACTTACCCTTGTAGAGATTTATGGATGTGTTGGCATTTTTTCTTTAAAACTGCAAAAATGCCTGCATAGAAAAGAAAGTTCGATGGTATATTTAGGACACTTGATGGTGCCAGCTTATGAAACACCTCCACACGCCCAGCTCCTCAGTCTGAAATGCTGTGAGTCTCCAGGTGTGAACAGACACCCAACAACGCACAGGCCCTGGGCTTCTGATGTCATCAACTGGCTCCTGCCCAGTGGCGCTGCCCACTGCCTAGATCAGGGATGATGGCTTCAGAACCAAACGCGGGCTCTTGTCCTTCTGAAGAGCTCCACAGTCCAGTTAAGACCACAGGGTGCCGCTTACTACTCAGTCTCAACTCGAAACCAATGGGTAGCAAAGTAATTTTGGGGATGCTTTCCTTTTATTCGGGGCAAGCTCAAAAGTGAAAGCCATGCGACACATCTGACCCGGTGAGGTGACATCTCTGCTGGAGACTCAGGGATGCCAGCTAGGGAGGCCTCTCCTCCTCTCCTGTATGCACTGGGGGCTGGGGGTCATGAACCACTGGGCATGTGCGGAGGTCAGAGGACAATTTTATGGAGTCAGTTCTCCCCTTCCACCTCTATCTGGGTCTCAGGGATCTAATCCAGGCTGCCAAGCTTGCACAGCATGTACCTTTACCTGCTAAGCCATCTTGCCAGCCCCCACTTGGTTTTAAAGGTTGCATTATTATAGTCAAAGGCCACTTGCTAAATTCTCAGTTGACTTTTTATTTTGCCCACTGAGTCCTTTGTGACAAAACAGGCAAGCAATGAATTAATTAAACAGGGGGAAAACGAGGAATATGATATCCGCTAAACCTCAGCACAGTTCAGCTAGCTTCCCTAAACACTGTACGCCAAATGATGACAGCCACTACACTTGGGGAAGCACCTAGGACTGGCAGGGACCCAGAGCCCCATCTTTCTCGCATTGCCACCTGGAGAAGCAGTCAGCCACTCAGGATCCATTGCCCCATTCAGAGATAAAGCTCTATGCAGTCCTGAAGCAGCAGTAACTTGTCCACTGCCATCTTCCCACAATGCCAGGCATTGGTGAGCACGGCCATTTAAACGCTAGGGGAGGCATGGTTTGGATCTTGGTGTTTTAGACTTGGTAGCATTTTCATAGACTATTCGTTGATTTTCAAATACCTGTCCTCAAAAAGTTTGGATATTGGTTTCTGTATCAGGGACACATGATTTCTAAAGGAATTCAGAGTCTGATAATTCACTTAAGCTAATTCTTCCAGAAAGCAAGTTGGTACCACAGTTAATAGAAGCAGCCCTTACAAGGCTATACCTGGATTCTCCTCCATGATGTTGAGGGCCTCGATGGCGGCAGCAGCTAGCAGGGGAGGTAAGGAAGCTGAGAAGCAGTACCCTTGGCCAGAGAGGCGCTAAAGAGAAACAAAAGAAATAGACATTCTTTTTCTAGATTGACATTTGGAAGGCACCCCATCTCCACAGGCATCTGAACAGCAGGCACAATTGAGTGCACCTCGAGGACAGCTAAGGGACAATGAAACAAACCCAAAATGCTTTCTTAAGAGCTAGGCTTTATGTGTCTGTAAACACTTTGAGCTATCCTTTAAACACAGGCCTTTAGATAAAAAAGGCTTGTCTTAGAAACTGCATTCTGAAGTGATGGTGGGGACAACCATCTATGGCTGTGTTTCATTTCTAAGAAGAATCACCTGATGGTCAACCACGAAAGACCTGCCGCAGCAGAAGCCCCCGACAGAGGCGAGAGCGTTCTCCATGTTGGCACTGATCAGGTCGATGTCATCTATCTGCCAGGAAAAACAGAGAGCAAGTCACCGTCAAGCCCCTCTGGGGGTCGTGGTTTTCCTCTTCACACTTTCACGCCACTGCTCCATGCTATTACATCCCTACCCACGCCCATCTGCTGACGTCAGCAGTCCAGCTAATGCCGTCTGTCTGTGGCAGTGCAGTGCTGGAGTGCAGATAACTAAGGGGACTTTGTATTTTACCCATCAACTTGGTGATACACGCAGCAAAAAAATCATTCACATTTGGAGAGAAGGAACCCTTTAACTCTCCTGCATGGGGTCAGCAAGGAGGCTGTCACCAGCCTGAGACACCAGGAGCACACCCAGGGCACTTAGTTTCTCTGGCTCCACTTCCCTTTAGAAAAGGAAGTGGGTCAATGTTACTCCAACTGTCTGGGACCTTTAGTAGCTTTACTGAACCCATTCTCAGCAGTGATTTTGACAGCATACGTGTGTGTGTGTGTGTGTGTGTGTGTGTGTGTGTTAAAATTACATATTAAGTATGTACACATATACTACCAGCTACATAAACAAACATGGCACAATTGTACATACGTACTTCCACAGATTTTATGTGGAAATATACTAAAAATGTCTTTTAAAGGACTAGGAATCCTTTTTGTTGTCGTCGTTTGTGCGGGGATCTTTCTATTAGCTTATGAAGGCCTGATTCCCAACTGCTGTGATTACAGGCATGTGCCACCATGCCCAGCTCCCAAGGAAATTCTTAAAGACCTTAATAATATCATACAAAACTGGCTGCGTCTAGAAGAGGCAGGAAAAGCCAAGTTCAACACCTTACCCCCATCTGTGGTAAACAAAAATCCCAGAGGGAAGACACAATCCCTGAGTGGGCTGACAAGATTTCCCCCACAACATCAAAGCCTCAGGAGCCTCAGACTGACTGAAGGTTCTTTCCCATGCCTCTGGTGGGCTTCCTACAGGGGGGCTTCCCCAGTGAGAACTTACGCTGATCCCATAGTGCTCCGTGACTCCACGCCCGTGCTCCCCAAGGACTCCAAACGAAAGGCTTTCCTCCAGAAAGATTCTTGCTTTATATTTGTACTTTAACTTAACCTAGGTGTTAAATAAAACTGAACTTAATACCATCACCATTAGCAACATATGGAATGTCTGATATAGAAAAAATTAAACTTGTAAAAGTACTGACAGTTGACCCTCAATATCTACGAATTCTGTATTTGCAAATTTACCTACTTGTTAAACTTTATGAATGTGAAATCAATATTGCATGTGTGTCTGTGTGTGTGCATGCCACACTGTGAGTGCAGAGTTGGAACACAGCTCTCTTGGGTCAATTCTCTCATTCCACCCTGTGGGTTCTGGGGATTGAACTCAGGTCAGGAGAAACTCAAGCACCTTCATCTGCTGTGTACCCTTGTGTCCCAGGCATCAGGCTTTAAGTGTGATTATAAGTGAAAGGTCTAACTGTCGAAAAGCAGCATACTAAAATAAAGACTCAGTAGGGCTGCTCACCAGTTCTGGAAGAGGACAGACGGTTCCAGTGTTCATATACAATCCTTCCACAACAATGAAGCGTCGAGTCACACGAGCCTTTCTCGGATTCTTTAAAAAAAAAAAAAAAAAACAGACATCTTAACTGTCATAACTCCAAATATAAATTGTTACTCCCAAGAACTTGCACCTCATAAAGGATTTATTTAAAAGGGAAAAATGCCATAATGAATTAAAACTCAACTCTTGAGATCCTATTATTCTGACAGAAACACTAGTGAGAAGAAGCAGTTTCTTTTCTCAGGCAGTTTTAGTTTACAGTGTCAGCTAGGTGACCCCACACACCACTGGAGGTGACCTAACAATATTAAACAATGTCCCAGCCCCAGAAGGGTTGGGAGAAAGTCCAGGGAACTTAATGATGAAGCACAGACTCCAGAGTGAATGACCAGGTAAACATCAAAGATTACACAGCTAGGATTTACACATTTCAGTGTAAAAGGAGAACAAATTACGGTGAAGACCATTATCGCCGCCACCACCAGGTGCTGTCTGCACAGAAGCACTTCTGCTCCACAGATTCACAACACAGAGGCTGCCAGGCTCCCACCACTCACAACCCAATGCTGCCGCTCACAGCATTTCTAGATGGCAGTGTGGACCTGTCAGAGTCAGCAGTGGAAAGAGGACACCTGCATGGCCACACACAGCTTGCCTACATCTCCCTTTTACAGAAAGTCCCGTTTCCTTCATTTCGGCAGGGCTTCCTTACACACACAGTTGCGTGCTCTCTCGATCCCCATTCAAGTAACTGCTTAGGACGCAGGGTGAACAAAAATATGTATGGAAGGATTCTAATAATCAGCCATCCTATGCACTGATAGCTTTTGCCTTTCTTTTAGATTATTTATGTATGAGTGGCTTTCCAAAATCAGGATTTTACTGTAGAAATTTTAGAATCTGATTTTTAAAAATATTACATTGTGATCATTTAAGTTTTACTTAAAACAGTTTTACTTTGTTCCTTTAGAAGATTTGTATTTACTTTATGTGTCTGAATGTCTTGCCTGCATATATGCATGTGTATGGCTGTGCGATACCCACAGGTCAGCAACAGCAATGAGTTGCTTAGGCAGAGGCCTCTGTCCGGCCTGTCACAGCAAGGCTTTTCTGGAGACACCCCTCTGCGGGCACACTGCCTCCTCACCATTCTTAGTGCTGGGAGCACATTGACATGATCTCCACTTATCTTCCTGAGACAGCATCTTAAGTAAGATGGACTTTCTAAAATTAAATGTGAAATTATTTAATAGCATACTCCTGGCAGAAAAATGAGGTATAACTTAATTAGTAAAAAAGTGAAATTAAATTTCTAAGACACATAATTTTCCGATTGTTCCCCACAAGAAACTCCAGATTATAAATCTTACGAAAAATACACATGAAAGTTGAGTATGACAGCTCCTAAATCTAGCCATGCAATCTCCAGCAGATTGACTCCCTAGTCACACTGTCCAGAACAGTATTTATTCTGGTGGCTGGGATCTAGTACTTAATCAGAATAAAAGTCATCTTTTTAGTCTATTGAAGGAGTTAAACCTGTGAGACTGTCTCAATTTCAGAATTTCTTTACTTTTTCTTAATTGTGGAACTATGGAACACTGGCTGATAGTGTATTGAGCATACAATGGTGAGTTTATGTGCATTCAATGACAATGTACATATTCATGAAGTATCTATCACACAGGCTGACTCCTAAACAAAGATGACAGAATCTTGAAGGAATAACCTAAACTTTTAGGAAAATCTACATGAATACAAAACCAAACAAGGTGGGGAGCACTTTCATCAGATACTCCAGTTATGAATGAGTTGTTTGGACAAGGTCCACTTGAAAGGGGTGCTTGAGATGTGACAAGTGGGCTTCCAGGGCAGTCCACACCCCGTCAGCATCTTATCTCATCGGGCCGGCCTTTCCTACCCACCCTGCCTGGAAGACAGTCATGAGCCTCCCCATGATGCTCTGTGCCGCTCTCCAACCATGCCAGGGAGACACTTCCTAATCACCAACTAGGAGTGCTCAAGGCTCCCAGGCACCCCCTCTTCAGGGAGGCTGTTCCCCACAGGCAGCAGCTGCCTGGAGCTTCAGAAAGACTTAAGATTTGATGGAATACATAAGTATATTCTGGATTTAACCCATGCACTTCCTTACAGCCTGTGTGTGTTCCAGAGCTCCTACACAGAACTCAGAGGACTGTGTCTCAAGGGCAAGCTCCTGCTCTACCTTTGTCCCCCCATAGAAAGTCGCCTTGACCTCCTCCCAAGTGTGACAAGGCTCTGCAACCTGAAATACATTAATAAGCAGGAACACCCTTACTTAGTATCTAAATGGGATCCGCAGGCGAGTTTTCAGTGACAAATTACCATTTCATCTATAATGTAGCTGCTTAGGAAGTACAAAGAGCCGCACCCTGGTCTTCAAAGGACTGTACCTTTTGATCTTCAATCTCTTGTTCTTTCAGCAGTCGCTCCAGGTCAGCTACATCATTGTGCTTGAACAACTTAATGTCACTGCGTGATGCCTGTAAGCCTTTCTGGATAGCAAAGCAGGCTGCACTGTCCCTGCAAGGGGGAGAGGCACCAAATTGGGGTTAAAGGGCCTTGTCAGAGTTCTCAGAAGAATGCCTGCTTTTGTAAGTTGACAGCTCCAGTTGTTACCTGAGACACAGCAAGCAGAGAGTTCGAGCACTCACACTCACTGTGCGCTCTTCACTCTGCAAGCCCTTCCTTCCCACAAGACTACTTCACTTCATCTCCTGAGAAACACAGCTGGGCGCAGACTGGCCTTCCTCAAGTTAGGATGCATGCTGTGGATGGCATCTGAGCTTGCTCACATGCCCCTCTTTCTAAGGGCTTTGGAGAGCACTGTGACCTCACTGTCAGTGGCATCTCTGTCTACCCGACTCATCACTCCGCCACGAGGAAAACACTGGCAGTCAGCTGAAGGCACAGCTTCTGGGCACTAGCAGGTGACGACAGTCAAGTAACACAGGGAACCAGTCTAAGCTCACCTGCACCAGCATAGGCTGAGTGAAGAACTTAGCCATTGGCCTTTGAAGGAACCCCGCATCCCTTCCTGGGAACACAAACTTCTAGCCAACGTGGTAACAATGAAGCAACCCCAGTTTCCACTTGGGTGAGGAAATCCAGCGGAAATCAGGACTGTCACCACCAACCAGCAGCAATAAAGAAACTACGACCTTGGGTGTCCAGTCTGAAGCGGGGACTGGGACTGAACATGCCTGGCATTCAGAATGACACAGTAGTCTCCCACCTCCCATTTCCCCAGTGTCAGAGAAAGCCGACCCTAACAGATGGCTCCACAACACTGTCATCTGCAGCCCATGCTCCAGAAACACAACTGAATTAGAAGGGGGGAAAAGCATCTCACAATGTTTTATGTTTAGAGTTTTGTGTTGGGCCACATTTATAGCTGCCTTGCGGTACATGTGCCCTGTGGGCAGCAGGCTGGACACATCAGTATAGACTGGAGCCATACAACATGAAAATGCCTAGGTTCCAACTGAGTATCATCACTTCCATCAAATGTCACTATGAAGACTGACAAAGCCCAGGATGACCTAGCAGTGAACTCAAAGCAGTCAGCATAAAAATGCTGCAATGAGCAGTCACGAGCACACCTGACACAAGGGAGCTAAAGCAGAAAGCTGAGCAAACAGAAGCTACAGAGAGTCCTATCCTATGGAGAAAGCACTCTGAAGAACACACTAGTCAATGAGATACACATGGACCAGAGGGAAAGGATCAGTGAACAGGAAGACATATTGAAAAGAGTCGGGGCTAGAGAGATGGCTCAGAGGTTAAGAGCACCGACTGCTCTTCCAGTGGTCCTGAGTTCAATTCCCAGCAACCACATGGTGGCTCACAACCATCCTCTATGAGATCTGGTGCCCTCTTCTGGTGTGCAGATATATATGGAAGCAGAATGTTGTATACAAAATAAATAAATAAATAAAATCTTTAAAATAAAAAAAAAGAAAAAAGTCAGTGTACATCAGAGAGAACAGTCTGGAAAGGAGAGAGCAGAGCTCCAAGGACTTGGGGGCGGAGGTGGGTGGGGATGGTGTGGCGGTGTAACGCAAGCACTCTAACATCGCAATCATTGGAGTCACAGCAGAAGAGAAAGGCATTAGAAGAGCTAGCTGACACAAACAAACTGGCTAAAACCCTAATACAAAAAAATGACTTAAACCTACAGGCTAAAGACAATGAGTAAAACCCAAACAGGTAAGGCCAAATGAAGAGTCACGAGGGTACAGTGAAACCCCCAGTCTCTGCAGGCTGTCAAATGCATGCACAACTCAACTTGGTGTAAGCCACTTAGTATGTGTCTAGGTAGCCAAGCCACTGTGTCCACTACAGTGTGGTCCAAGACTCCGTTCATGGAGGTACAACAAGAAAAGCACGGAGACATGACTTCAAAGAGTCAAATGGGAGAAATCTAATACAGAGAAGACACTAATTCCCCCATCCCCTGCCCATCTTCAGGTCTAAGGTCAGAGATTTCCCTGGTAACAGGGTATCTAAGTGTGTGAGAGACCAGTTGCACTGATTACGGGCCATGAGTCCACGTCACCCTTAGTCCAGAGCAGGTGTGTTCTTGTGCATTCCCAGTGATGTGGAGGTTTGGGGCCTTGTGGCATCCCATGGTTTGGTACCGCTGATGGCTACAGGGGGTAGAGTACATCTATCCACAATGACTCTGCTATGGTGGACTCCTGTAGAGTCTGACTGTATGCCAGTGACTACAAAGACAACATGCCTGGGCCTATGGCAGGGGCTTCTGAAAACTCAATATCCTTTCTAGGGACTCTTGATTCATCCCTAGACAGCCTACCAACTATGAATTTGAGATGAACTTGGGCTTGGATCGCCCTCTAGTGTTCAAAGAGTGGTGATACAACAGCCCACTTGCAGTAAGCCTGGTCTTGGGGAATTAATGCTCATTCTAGAAAGACTAACAGTCAGCTTGAAAAGACAAGTCATGACTCCTTCAGTGCCCAGATGATGTTTCATACCCAAACCAACAAAAGCCTTCAATAAACTAAGACATGGGGTGGGAACACAGGCTCAGCCATTAAGAACACTGCTGTTCTGCAGAGGACCTGGGTTCAATTCCTAACAGCACATGGTGCCTAGTGACTACCCTTAACTCCAGTTCCAAGGGTTATGATATCCTCTTCTAACCTCTGTGGACACTGCACACATGGTGTACACATACATACATGCAAACAAAACACCCAAATATTAAATAGAAATCTAAAAAAAACAAAACAAAAACCCCCTGACCTCACTACACCACAAAGTGCCAGAAACTGACCACACTGTAATCAGTATTGGAGAACCCACAAGAGGACTAACAGGAGGACTCACAGGAGGACTCAGAACAGCCAAAACCCAAGGAGCTCAGAAAAAGCATGGATAAACTTTTCAGTACTGTACCATGAAACCTGATAAAAGGAAACAAACACACAGAACTATTTGAGAAAAACAACAATAATAACAAAACCCCCAAACACACACACCAAGTGAAATAAAAAACATGGCAGGAGGTATAAATATCAGGAAAGGTCAAATACAAGAGAGGATTACCGAGCTCAGAGACAGACTATTTGCAAATGGTTATCTGGAGGAAAAATGAAGTGCCATGAAGACAGCTCACGGGAGCTTTGGAGCAGCATTAGAAAGAGAAGAGCTAGGCCAATGGGGGTCAAACAGGACCCGAGAATGCCATCAGGGTAGAAGACTCCCAAAGAGACTGCTACCAATACACAGGTCTAGGAAAGTCAACGGTCATAGACAGTCAGATGGATCGCATCAAGACTTCCTGGAACACATCACACACAGGTTCTTAGAGGTAAAAGTAAGACTCTCAAGGTGTCCTAGTTAGTCTCCAGCAGAATTTGCTATGAAAACTTTATATCCAGGACAGAGTAGTGCAGGTTTTCAATTAGAAGGAGAAACTAAAAACTCAGAAACATTCAATACAGAATTCTCTAAACAGCCAACAAAGGTGAGGAGGCTGGAGAGATGGCTCAGTGGTTAAGAGCACTGGATGCTCTTCCAGTGGACCTGTGTCCAATTCCCAGCACCCACATGGCAGCTCACAACTGTCTGTAACACCAGTTTCAGGGGATTTGGCACCATGCCTACAGACATGCATGTAGGCAAAACACAAATAGACATAAAATAAAAATAAATTAATTAAACAAAAAGAAAAGAAATGAAGGTGATGTCTCAAACAAACAAACCCAAATGAACAAACAAACAAAACTGAACTTCTCAGGACTGATCTTTCTTTTGCCAGGCGGTGGTGCTGCACACCTTTAATCCCAGAACTCTGGAGGAGGAGCAGGAGGGTCTCTGTGAGTTCCAGGCTAACTTGGCCTGCAGAAGTAGTTTTAGGACAGCCAGGGCTACCCAGAGAAAAAGAATCTCTAAAAAAAAAAAAAAAGAGAGAGAGAGAGAGAGAGAGAGAGAGAGAGAGAGAGAGAGAGAGAGAGAAGGTGAGGGAGAAGATCCCAGACAATCCAGAAGAAGTAGAATCTATGTCCACCCAGATCTCCTAAAAGATTTCTAAAGGGAGGAGTTCTGCACAGAGACAGAGATACTAATGTAATCAATGAGTACAAACCACTCATATCTTCAGTACAATTTAAAAACCAGAACAAAAGATCCTGGAATAACAACTATTTCAGTAGTCTGAGTCAACACAGAAAGATGTAAAAATGTACATGGGGCCTGGAGAGATGGTCCAGTGGTTAAAGTGCTTGCCTTACCAGCAAGAGGACTGGAGTTTGGACTTCTAGAACCCATGTAAATGCACCTGTAAAGAGAGCATCCCAGAGCAGGCTGGCTAGCAAGATTAGTTGTACCAGTGAGATCTGGGTTTGACTGAGTGGCCTTGTCTCACTAAATAAAGTAGAACAACCCAGTCTAATTGCAAACATCAACCTTGGCGCTCCACATACATGTCCACATACAAGCATACACAAAACTGTAAAAAAGAAACATTTAAATGGGAGGAAGAAAAATAAGGGCAGTTTCCTTACTAGTTTATTTTTGTTTCTGTCTTATGTTTATGATGCTTAAGTTGCAATCATTTGAAAACAGCTTGTTATAATGAAAAGACGTTTTTGTAACCCTCATGGCAACTGTTTATATCATCTACAGAGTCAGTGGCTTTCCCCTGGCAGTAAATAGCCACACTGCCGCCACATGTGCACTTTATGCCAGTCACCCAACAGAGTTAGGGCCCCACTTAATACACAGAAACTTGTATTAGGTTCAAATGCTGCTTGGCCAATGACTAGGATTCCTCATCTGTTAGCTCAGCCTTAATTATCATAAATCTATATATTTTATAAGACTTATAGAGGATGCCTTTGCTGGCACCCTCTCTTGCCGGTGGCTCACATGGCGCCGCTGGAGGAAGAGCGGAGGAGAAAAGGGACACTTCCTGTTTCTCCTTTCTTAAATATGAGTTTCTTTGCTATGTCATTTCCTGCCTGGAACACCACTTCTCTACTACATTTCCCAGAATCCTCTTTGACTCCTAGTCCTGTCTAACTTGCTCTCTCATTGGCCAAACAGTATTTTATTTAATAATCAATAAGATGAACATACAAAGAAGTACATTCCCCATCACCACACCATGCATTTGGGAATTCACCTGAGTTTGTAGACTTTCTGTGGACAGACATTCCTACCACATGGCTTCTATATCCTTTTTAATAAGATCTTTTAAAAATTTTATTTTATGTGTATGGGTGCTTGTCTGATCATATATATACATGACATGTGTGCCTGATACCCAAGGAGTCAGAAGAAGGTATTGCATACCTTGGAACTGGAGTTACTGATAGTTGTAAGCTGGTATGTGGGTGCTGAGAATCAACCTAGGTTCTCTGCAACAACAGCCAGTGCTCTTAAGCACTGAGCCATTGCCCTTGCCTCAGCTCCTACATCCTTAATGAGCACTGAGTCAAGGTCAACAGAGACCTGGAGACTAAGAAGGGAGAATGATGAGGAGCGTGTGGCTTTGCCAGGCACAGTAAACAATGTGAAGTTGTGATCATGACTCGGCATGACAGGGTCACAGAGCTGACAGGGAAGGAGATGGCAAGCCTCATTCGGACATCGACAAAACAATCATGGTGCCAGGAGAGTGACTACTGCACTGTCAAGCACCTTTTGGGTGAGGTTCTCATAGCTCTTGGCTGGGGAAACCAGTTAAAAAACAAAACAAAACAGAGAACCGCAGAAGATCCCTTTTCCTTTAGGCAGGTAATTTCCAATCTGGGACCTGCTGAGCCTGGCAGCATGGTGCTTTCTCAGAAGGAATCTGGCTAGAAGTGTAGGTGAAGGCACTTACACAAAAACAATGTCCCCTCTTTTAGAGTACGCAGGAATCGCACTGGCTATGGTGGAAAACCCATACGAGTAAATGATGGCTTCTTCGGTCCTCATGAATTTTGCCAGGCGCTCTTCCAAATCCAGATGGACATCTATTTTACAGGAAAAGTTGAAATAGTTAAACAGCCTTATAATTCTTTCTCCTTTACTAACAAATGAAAAAAGCACATAGTAGTTTAATCACTGCCTCTCTCACCTTACAGATAAAATTCAATTTTAAAAGTATTTATTATTGTTTGTCTGTATTTGTGCCACAGCCCATGTGTGGAAGTCAGAGGGCAACTTGTTTTCTTTGGTGGGGGGCGTTGAGACAGGGTTTCTTTGTGGCTTTGGAGGCTGTCCTGGAACTAGCTTTTATAGATCAGGCTGGTCTTGAATTCACAGAGCTCCGCCTGTCTCTGCCTCCTGAGTGCTGGGATTAAAGGAGTGTGCAGAGGGCACTTTTGAGAGCTGGCTGTCTCCATCAGTGTTTTAGTTCTGGGGATCAAACTCAGGTCTTCAGATTTGGCAGCAAGTGCTTCTACCTGAGCCCTTTAATCAGCACCTAAAATGGAACTAAAAGCAGCAACAACAAAACTACAAAAATCTCTAGATTAAAATAATTTTGGACCCAAAGTTCTTCTGAGACATTCGAGCTGAAAGCAGCTCCCTGTCTCTAAGCATGGCAAATGGAGACTTCAATTTTGCTACAGGCTTCCTAAGTGTTCCAGAAGCCTGGGAGTTAAGCGCCGATCCCACTGCACTGGAGCTGTGACAGACCACAAGCAGGATCTTTGCCTCCTCACCCTTCTGGGGGGAATCCCACTCCATCTTCCCATGACCACTTACTGAGTCTTCACCACTCACACAAGCGGCCTCCATACACTGCACCAAGACACACTAAAACTCAAGTGGCCCCTTTTCTCATAGTCCAGGTTAGGGCTCAGGTGCAGTGACTGCCATCCCCAAGTATACCAGGGAATTCAAATTCACACACGGACAAAATCAGGGTCTCATGGAGAAGGAGCTCAAGAATGCCGTTGCAAATCCATAGGGCCACAGAGGGTAGGTGTGAGAGACTAGGGGTACAGGAAAGGGGAAGCTGAATAGACAGATAGAGGGACGGGAGTGGGGGTTGGGGCAGGAGGATGAGGGAGGGAATACAGGGAGAGACAGCTAAAATTAAGGGCCACTTGAGGGGTAGTATAGAAACCCAATACAGCAAAGGCTTCCTAAAATATACACATATGTGAAGGTGATCTAAATAAAATCACCAAATAAAGGGAGAGACAGAGTTCCAACTGGCCATCACTTGTCACCAAATGAAGCTTCCAATACCAGTATTGGGTTACAGCTAATAGAGTTGTTGGCCAAAGGGATCCCAGGAAATCCCCAAATAATCCAGGCTGTTGCCAAGACTATAAATTGCTCTCCACAAACCGACGGCAAGGCCCTACTGCTGAAGACAACACATATACAAGTCACTGAACAAGAAGTCTAGCTGGTGCCTCCATAGAGCCTCCACCCCCATGCTCTAGCATCTTTGGTACAGGAAGGTACTCTGCACACTACCAAAAGAGAGACAAAAACACCAAGCCAGCCACAAACCCTCTGATCTACAACCTTGTCCTGCCTATAATATGTGCTAGGGCGTTGCTGGCACAAAGCTTATGGGAATAACCAATCAATATCTGACTGGACTGAAGGCCACTCCACCAGATGGAACCCATACCCGCTATCGCTTGGGGGATCAAGAACCAGGCATTTTGCTGCACTCATAGATCAGTACTTGCTCAGCCATCAGCTGCTTGTAGCAGCTTCCCCCTACAGCAGACGGGAACACATACAGAGACCCACTTGATGGCTATTATAGGGTGTCAGCTTGACTACATCTGGAATGAACTACAATTCAGAAATGGAGGGCACACCTGTGAGAGATTGCTTTTGCTTAGTTTGAAATGGGTGAAGTAGGAAGACACACTTAAGCAGGGTCAGACTTTCTGCTGGAAACCTAGAAGGACATGTAAGAAGGAAGCTTTTACTTGTTCCCTTCTTGCTCTTGCCTTGCTAGTGCACCCATTCCTTCACTGGCATTGGAGCCCACTTCTTTGGGATTCTAGCATTTACTGAAATGAAGACCAGCCAAAACATCCAGCCTTGTGGACTGAGCAACTATTGGATCTTTGGACTTTCTGTACACAACCAGCCATTGTTGGTTTAGCTGGACTATAGCCTGTAAATCATTCCTATATATATTCATTCTATAAATTTTGTTACTCTAAAGAACCCTGAATAATAGAACCCACAACCAGACATCATGCAGAGTCAGAGACCTTGGAACACTAGAATGGGGTATCTATAAAATCTGTCCCCTCAGGGCTCAGAGAACCTCATGGAAGAGGAGGCAGAAAGACTGTAAGAGCCACAGGGGGTGGAGGATATCAAGAAAACAAGGCCCTGGAAATCAAGCTGGTCAAAGTTCGTATGAACTCAGAGACTACAGCAGCAAGCCTAGGGCCTGCCTGGGTCAGCACCAGGTTGTCTACATATTCACTGTTTAGTATCTTTGTGGGACTCCTGAGTGTGTGAATGAGTGACTCTCTGATTCTTGGGCCTGCTCCTGGGTTCTCTTTTCTTGCTGTTTGTCTTGTCCAACTCTGATGTGGTTAGTTTTTGTTTTAATCTACTTTATTATTAAATTAGAGAAGCCTGTTTTGTTGTTGTTGCTGTTGCTTGCTTGTTTGTTTGGTTTTGTTTTTGGAGACAGGGTTTCACTGCATGGCCCTGGCTGTCCTGGAACTCACTCTGTAACCAAGCTGGCCTCAGACTCACAGATCTGCCTGTCTCTGACTCCTGAGTGCTGGGGTTAAAGTGGCCACATCGTGGCATCCATTTGTTTTCTAATGAGACAGAAAGGGAGTGGAGGGGAAACTGTAATCAGGATATATTACATGAGGAAAAAAAAAATCTATTTTCAATACAAGGGGGGAGAAGAATGCAGGTATAACAGGATAAATTATAATACTGAAGTGACATATTTAGTCAATCATGGCTCTGTAAAGCCTTTCATTCACAGTGTGAGCCGTTAACACTGCTCAGGGGGAAGGACATCAGCCTTTGGAGACAGCCCGCCACCAGCTGACTCAGTCTTAGAGCTTCAAAGTCACTTTAAATGAGGCGTTTTGAAGAGAGAGCTGCAAGTACAAGTACCCACTACCCTTTCCACCTCAGTGGGGCTCAGGCCTGGAGGACCCAGATCGGCCTCACCACAAGCTCTGTGCAAGGAGCACTCTGGCACAGGGAGAGAAGTTGGTTCTGGCTCCTGAACACCAAGGGACAAGGAGGGGAGTAGAGGCAGATCCCAAAGCAGTGGAGGAAGGGAGTCAGGGTGTGTCCACGGAGGATAGATACTCTGGAAACGGCCAGCGCAAGCCTTCTCCAAGTGAGGGGTGACAGGGAGTGGCAATGACAGATGCCAGATTAGCTTCATTCCTTAGAAGGAGCTAGACTTGTGCAAATGAACAGCAGATCCCATTTCAAGCAGGTGTGACACAGCATGCTTCTCCACACTTACTGCTCACATATCACTGTAAGGAACAAGAATACACAGCCAACTGCCACGGTCAAATCACAGACTAGACCATTTCTTTATATCAACATTAAATAAATGTGGCTTTCACGGGACTACGCTTAAGTTCATCAGTAAGTCATAGATCCAAGACATTAATCCCATGCAGAGCCAAGCAGGTGGCTATCCAGCTTCTAGAGAAATGTCACTGGGGAAAGGCTTTAGGAAAGTGGCCAGATGAAAGAAAGCTATGAGGACTTAATAGCTTGTCACCCCCCAAGTTCCTGAGCAGAGGCTAGTCTGGGGTGTGTCTTCCTTCCTTCTCTACGGTCCTCAGCATCACAGCCGGTGCCTCTCAAGTCCAGGCAGAAGACCCCCTTCAAATATAGCCCTGCCTCTGGATGGAAGCCTACGACAGCCTTCAGTGTGTAGTGGGGGGAGGGCAGCCCAGGCCACCAGGCCAGGGTTGACAGCTTGTGATCTCCACTTCAGAACACTATGCTGTCCATGACACCATGCTTCGGAGGCAGATACACCAATTTTACTAACCCTGAAGGATTTCTATTGGTTATTATGTAGGCTTCCCCAGACTCCTATCACTGGTGAGGACTAAGACGGAAAAGCTGGGCTTACAGGGCCTTATAGGAAGCCCCTCGGCCAATGGAAAGAGTGTGTCAGAGCATGCTCATCACTGTGTACACTGAAGGCCACAGGCATACAGGTGCAGCATACTGGGATGGAGAGCCCAAGTGACAAATCAATGCCTTGCCAAGTCCCCAAAGTTTAAGAAACTGTAGCCTTTCCTTCTATCTAACAACACAGACTTTGGCTGGCATCAGTCTTGCAGAACAGGTTCTGTAATGGGTCAACAGGTGTAAGTGTAGAACTCGTTTCTCTTGATGCTAGCTTGTGAGTGAACACCTCCCCACCCACGGAAGGGGGGCAGCAGGAAAAACCACCAAGGGCTGTTCTGTGACTGCTCATGGCCACATCTTTTGTGTGCAGATCCACCCAGGCCAGTGAGGCCCCAACTATGCATGGAGTAAAACTCAAGTACTACATTTTCTAACTCATGTCAGCAGAGACAAGGCCAGTGCTGAGGGGTCTGTATCCCTAAAGCTTCAAGGCCCTCACTCCAGCCCTCTAAGAACCTGAGACAGAAGGTCTGGGCACTGAGCTTCTCAGAGCTCAGGCTGCAGCCACGCCTCCAGGTGGTTCAAGCTGGGCACGCATCATTGGGTGTACATTCACACAAGTCTAAGATTGTCCCATGCCCGCAGTGTTTCCACTGACACACATAGCTAAGAGACACACTGTCCTCAAAGGGCTTCTGGGAGGACAATAATTAAACATGAATAAAACACTAAGAACAGTCCTGGGCTCTGAAAGACTGTTCAATTAAACCACTATCTAGAAAAAAAGGTTTTACTTCAAAAAAGGAAAGTCTAGTTACTCCTTATCTTCTGACAAAATCATGTGAATTTATATTAATAAAAGTTTATTTTCTGTAGGGCCACTTGTCCAGGCTCATTTACAGTAAGGAAACAGCACCTGCCCTTGGTTGTTTTCCAAAGGAAAGACTAGAAAACAACCAACCTCACAATAGTACAAATTCAATTTACCATATTTTCTATTAAGAACTTTCCATTTTTGTGTAAATACTATTCTCTTCCTTGTTTTTTAGGGGGAGGGGGAGTGGATGGGTGGTTGAGAGTTTCTCTGTGTAGTCCTCGATGTCCTGGAACTCGCTCTGAAGACCATGCTTGCTTCAAACTCACACAGATTTGCCTGCGTCTGGTTCCTGAGTACTGGGATTAAAGGCGTGAGCCACTACTGCCCAGTCTAATAAATATTATTCTTAAAAAAAACTTCTGGGCTCCTGAGATAGCTCAGCAGGTAAAGGCACTTGCTGGTAGGCCTGATGACCTGAGTTTGAGACCTAGGATGTACAGGGTGGCAGAGCAGAACTGACTCCTGCAACCTGGTTTCCTACCTCCACAGAGGGTGTGCACACACCCCTTCCCAAGCATAAATAAATACGTGAAAATTCCCGAGATAGAGGAGACATTAGCTTGGCTACTCTGATGGCTGAGGCAAGAAGATCCCAAATTAAGAACAGCCTGGACAACTTAGTGAGGTCCTGCCTCAAAATAAAACTACAAAGAAAGGCTGGAGCTATTGTTCAGTGATACAGTGCCTGCCCAGCATGTGCAAGGTCCTGGGTTCACGCCCCACTAGGATGCATGCACACACACATGCACGCACAATTTTTCATGAAGTAAAAGCAATAGCACTTCTGTATCCAAAAGTCATAAAGACTGTTTCACATCCAGACACTGTGTGATTTTACTGGAACGTTCTGAGCCATGTGCCTGAGGGCTGCTCCCCACACCTACAAAACCACAGTCTTACGACCAAAGAGAATCTGCAGCCAATCTAGGCGTCTCACGAGCTCATGCTCTTCCTAGCCCCCAGCAGCTGCCCATTTGACTGCTCTCACACAAAAAGAAGGAAGGTAGGCACAGGACGTTCACTGTTGAGTCCGCTGCACACTAAGACCAAGAAGCCAGTGAGGATCACGCGTAAGTTACAGCTTTCATGTACCCAAAGGGAAACACTGGAACAAACTGCCACAGAACACCCTCCTGAACACACAGGACCTGACTACCCTGGAAGGAGACGAGGTTCTTAGCTCTAAACCACAAAGAAGCGCCTGGGAAACATTCCAATCATGACTTTCTATCTACTCTTAAACCACAATCAACAACACACTTGGTAGTTTGTTGTGTGGTCTTCTAAATGTAATATGCACGTTGTGAGCAGGCCACTGTGAGGACTCAGGGTTCACATCTCTCCGCCAGACTTCTGGGAGGAAGGCCACATATACAAAAAAAACCAAAAAAAAAAACAAAAAACAAAAAACCAGACAAACTTTGGCCCAATCACTGCTCTACTGTCTTTCTGTATTAATCATCTAACAGATGTTATGAGAAATGATAAAAAGGGCATTAAAAACAAACATTCGGCATATGTGGGGTGTACAGGTATGCCATGGTGCAAGTGTCGTGGTCAGATGATGACGTAAGAGAGTCAGTTCTCTCTTCCCACCCTGTGTGTCATGGAGATCTACCTCAGGCCTAGGGGCTGTGCAGCCAGTGCCCTTACCTGCTGAGCCATCTCACAGGCCTGGAAGGAAACCTGAGGAAGGAAAGTTACTTCAGACACCTGAACAATCATATCCAATTTAAATCTAAATCATACTCATTTGGGGGCTGGGGTGGAGAAATTTGGGGGCTCAGTGGAGAAATGTGTGTCCAGACAGAAGGCTGTGGTTTGGCCCTAGTGTCACATGTCACAAACCCAAACACATTCACATCCACGTTAAAGCACAGCCCATGCCAACTACAAAGCTATTTGCAGCCGACACCTGCTTGACAAAGGGAAAATCCATTGTCCCCTGTGGAGTGTCACTGGGTCTATCAACCACACGCTGGGACAGGTTCCTTGCCCAGGTGTAACTGGCAAACACAAAACAAACTCAGTTTATTTGGGGCGGTGAAGTGGGCTTCTTTAGCTTGTTTTGCTCTGTCTGACGCTCTTCCCTGTTTCTGAGAGAAAATGAACACGAACTAGGATAGGATCTAGGAGGAGTTGGGGGAGGGAACATGACCAAAATGTACTGCATACAAATTTTTCACAAAAAAATTGAAAATAAGCAAACAAAAATGAGGGCACATAACAATGTATAAAACAGCGTGTGTGTGCGTGAGAAATGGGAGAGGTGTGTGTGTAGTCATCCATGTATGCTTTTGAAAAGCCTGTGGGAGGGCCAATGAGTGACTGACAGCTGCTGGTGAGATGGTGGCTGGGAAGGCAGTGGCAGTGGGTTAAGTCTGAAATCTGCACCTGTACTGGATACTCAGTGAGGGGCGCTAACTGAACAGCATCCAGTCCAGACGAGCGACACAGAGGGAGAACTGGGCTGTTTTAACAACATTTTCACAGCTCTCGGGAAATTAGGGTTAAAGGTTCAACCCCTCATCTGATAGAGCAATAGACCTCATCTGTCTTCCCAGATCAACTCCTAAGCAGCAGTGAGGTCACACAAATAAAAGCTACATACAGACTCTGAGGAAAGCAGCTTCTTTTCTCTGGCAAACTCACAGAGAGCCAGCTTCGTCTGTACATCAGGTAACAGCCACCAAGCCCTGGAAAAAGCAGGGTTTCCTGTTTCCTAGTCCAGTGCCAAGGACACAGGTCCCAAAAACAAGCAAAGCACACAGTGACAGGCTGGCTCTGAGTTCTGTCCTCCGATCCTGCCATGTGAGCCTGAGCTAGTGGTTGGGACACTGGGCCTACTTTTAGTGTAGAAATTCATAAACGATGTGAACTAGGAGGAGGTGTAACTACCTAGGCATCCCTTCTCTGCTAACCAGTTGGGATGATGGGAGGTAAGAATTCTGAGTTGTAGCTATAGTATTCTAGGCACCATCTCTCCTCATTGGTTCCAGCATAAATGAGGTAACCAACAAACTGAGAAACAAAGGAAGGGTCTTTGATAAACACATTTAACCAATGTGGTTAAACACAGAAAATCCACAAATGGAAATGAGATGGCCTCCTAACACAGAAGGCTATTTCTAGGATTTAGTGTTCCACTGGAACACCTGATGACATTCCAGAAGCAAAGGGCAATGTGCACAGTGAAGTCTGAAGGCTGATCGGGAAGCTCCTGGCAGCTGTCAAATTGCACCACCTGAGACCCAGTGAGCCTGTCCCAGGGTCTCCCACACAAGACACTGGTGACCTCACCTTCATCACAGAAAGAAAAAAACAGCTACAACCACAAGCCAGTAACTGTGCTTTCCCCTTTCTCCGTGGTACTCACTGCCCAGTGCTCTTTTCCAGCCCTTCCTTTGGACCAGGTATAGCCTGCTATTAGTTCTTGCCAGTGGACACTGGACAGTGCAAGGCCACCTGTCCTGTGGGGAAGGCACTGACTGTTGCCTGCCCTTCTGCTCCACAACATGGTGACACCACACATGGAAACCTGCATGACTACAAAGAGCAAGCCCCCAGCAATGGGGCCTTTCACCCAGAGCTGGCACACACAAATGAAACATTCGCTCCCAGAACCGTCCACCAGGACCCCTGCAGTAGAGCCTTGCACAGCACATTCTAAGGCCCTAACAGCTCTTCCCTGTACAGCTCCTGCCCATGCTCCCAGCACAACTAAATGAAAAGGAAGAAAGTGCACACATTCAGCTTGAGGGTTAAGAATGCCTCCAAAGGAGCTTCTAACTCAAACAGACCCTTGAAGGGAGTCTGAAAGAGAGTATGACTTACCAAATGTGCCATAAAATCCTCGAGGTCCACAGGTACCCACACCATACTTCTTTAGAGATGCTAGAGCTGCAGCCTTTATGGAAGCAAATGTGCTAGTGACTCCCTGTGCATGGTCCTGACCACCCTCCCCATTCTTCACCACATGGCAGCCCTGCCCACCCCTTCCCTTCTTCCCCGGGTCTATGGCAATTCCAACAAGTCAGGCGACACGTCCCGCTCTAGGCCCCATCTGGCTCCTCTTCCTCTCTCTCGCTTTCCCCCTTTCTTGTAACTACAGCAGTTCTAACAGGATTTAGGAAACACAGATTAGTAAATGAGACACAAGACGGAAGCAATGGAGAAGTGACATTCGTCTGCTTCTAAAAGCCCAGTGACGACCAGGCTTTCCTGAGGATGTCTGCAAGCCCCAATCCTAACAGGAGCTGGGCAACATCTTGGCTGTTCTCTCGCTACTCCACAGGCCTGGCTTCCTAGGTTCTCTGGCTGCCATCCACACTGAGCCCACCAGACACTGCCCTGCATGGTCCAAGTCCAGATTCTGGTTCCGTCAGACAGAATGGGAAACACTGTCCTCGCGGATGACCCAGGCCTGTCTTCTACAGCGTTCTGCAGCCAGCAGTGTCCTCCCCAACATCACTCTCATGTGCTACTCACCTTCACCCGGGGGTTGGCCAGCAACCCGAGAAAATTAAAGGAGGCAAAGTTTACACATTCTTTCCCATTCACCACGATGTTGTGGGTTGGAGGCCTGAGGAGAGAGAGAGAGAGTGGTTCACTTCAGCACCCATCCGGGCACCCGACAGCAGGCACAGCACAGCTATGCAGTCATCCCTCCCGATTTGCTCTCCACCCCTATCCTTCATACTTTTTGACAAATCAGAAAATGACAAATTAAAAATCAAACATCTTCCCATTTTGCCTATTTAATGAGCTCCCTGGACAACTTAAAAAAGAATAAGATGGTAGAGGGTTGTGGGAAAGACAGCAGATGGCAGGGCTTTGGTTCCCAGCACAGACATGGTAGCTCACACTGCTTGTAGCTATAATACCAGGAAATCTGATGCCCTCTCCCGGCCTTCACAGGTACTGCACACATGTTGTGTTCACACACATTCCACTCAGGCAAAAAGTCATACAAATAAATTAAGAACAAATCTAAATTTTTTTTAAAAAAAGAGAGATAAAGGAATGATAAATCTTGGATATTACAACTTGTTTAAGAAGAAAGTAGCTAAATAAAATGTCTAAAAACTAGAAGAAGACAAGCACGGACGAAATAACAAATGATCAAGATCAAAGGCAAGAATAGGCAAAGTGAGTTATGATTTTAGTGTTTGTAAACATTATCTACACAGCCCACTGAAGCCACAGCTCATTTCTGAGTTAATGCTAAGATGCTCTTTGAAAGGGTTCCTCTATGTCCTCTTTTCACTCCTCAAAAAAGAATAAGGGTAGCCAGCTACACAGAAGCCAGATGTGCTGAGACAGGAAAGAGACAAGCGGCCAGCCCTTTGCAGATGTAAGGAAACAACACGACAGGACAGACGCTGTCAAACCGTTGTCCAAGTGAGGAAGGGACTGTGCCCTGGAACCGTGGCTCCGGTTACACCGCCAGCTGGCCGTGTCTGTGTCGAGGCAGAAAGGACTGGGACACTGCTCTCAGAGACACTGTTATTTATTTTTACACAGAACTGGTGACTCGTGAGAAAAGAGGAACAGAAATCTGGAACTCCAAAGAAGAGACAACCTGAAATCAATTTGCAGTATTAGCATATAAAATGCAAGGAGACACCCTGAAATAAAGCAAATGTTTGCTTTATTATAAAATACTGAAAATATATGTCATAATATTGAGTACTATAAAACAGTGCTATTTTCTTTCTATTTTGGAATAGGGCTTTACTTTGTAGCTCATGATGGTCTCAAACTTACTATATAGCCCGGGCTGCCCTTGAATTCCTGAACTCCTCATATCTCTGCCTTCCAAGGGCTATGATTGATTAGAGCTGTCAGCCACTACCCCAGCAACACTATGTATCCTAACATACAACATGGGCAAAATATTTGAAAAACCTAAAAGACACAAAGGAAATCTCAGCAAGGACACAAGAACTGTTCAGAAAGGAATACTTTCCAACAACAAAGCAATGAATCACAACTCACAAAAAAAGGACAGTTCAAGGAAAGCCATGTTCTTGGTTCAAAAAAGGAAAGAGAATTAAAAAAAAAAAAACACGAAAAATTCAGAATACTCAGGTATCTAAAGCAAGTATTAAGAGCTGGTGATGGTTCAGTGGTAAAGGAGCTTACCACAAAGCCTGAAGATCCAAGTTCAATCCCTGGGGACTCCTGAAAGTTGTCCTCTGACCTCCACAGGCATGCCCTGGCATGCATGCAGTTATACATACACTTAAAATGTAATAACAATACTGTTTGAAGGTGTCAAACTCTTTTTACAGCACATAGTAAAAGCGGGGGCTGCAGCTGGACAGACCTTAGGAAGAACTAACACCTCTGAACCCCTTACCTACACTTTCTAAAGCTTTGGGTGCAAACCCATCCTAAGCAGAGAGGAGGGGGCAGTGCTTGTGCCTTCCTTCCCAGGCCACAGCACAGGGCTCTCTTAGTGAGAAGTAAACACAGTGCCTGCCCTTCAACATCTACAAAGTTCTCAGTGGCTGCTCCTAGGGAATCAGAAAGAAGACGCATCCTCACCAGAAAAAGTAAACACGGATAAGCGGAGTCAATGAAATTAGTGAGTCTTAAAAATGCAAAAAGAAGGCAAATCCCGAGTATGACTCAATTTAAAAGAGAGAGAGAGACTCAGAAATGACCCTGGATAAAGTTCAGCATGGGCATTCAAACTCTTAAAACCAAGACCAGAAGTAGATACAAATTGATAAGACTTTTATCTAAAATACGTAGATAACAAGGAGGACAATTAAGGCATTCTCTTTAATAAGAGAAACCAAAGCTGTTTCATTTTTTCTTACTGCTCAGGTTATCATAAAAGGTCACACTGTATATTGAGGACACTTACATAAACAAAAACAGTTACAACATCACCTGCAAGGCCCTGGATCACATCACACAGGGACTTCAGACTCATAAAACTACTGGAACTGTCATGGGAATGACATATAATTTATAATATAATACAGGCAGGCAGAGAGATTAATGGCAATCCGCCATGCAGACAACTGTAAGTTAGAATATGTGACCACAGCTATTAGGCGTGTCAGGCTTCTTTAGGGACAAAGTTGAGAAACCATTTGCAAAGGTCAATTCTAGATTCTTTTTCTTTTTTGGTTTTTCAAGACAGAGTTTCTCTATGTAGTCCTGGATGTCCCGGAACTTCCTCTATTGGCCAGGCTGGCCTCCAACTCACAGAGATCTGCCTGCCTCTGTGTCCTAGAGTTCTTGGATTAAGAACATGCGCCACCACCACCCAGAATTCCAGACTCTGAGGAACTTAAAACATTCTAAAACAGACAGAAGCAAATAAGATGAGTCTCAGCCACCTCAGGGAGGGAGGGACACACTGACAGTTGCTACAGCACAGATGGCCCGAAGGGGCTGAGTAAGACACAAACCATCTGACTTTGCATGATTTCTTCCATACACAATACCTAGAGTACTGAGTCTGCAGAGGACAGATGGATACCGTCAGGGCCTGGGGCAGGAAGGAAAAGGCTTGGGATTTACTGGAGAAAGGAAGAAAATGTTCTAGAATTAGATAATGGTGATGGTGGCACACCTCTGTAAACACAATAAAACTTATTTATTTTAATTGAATATTTTAAAAGAATGAATTGCATGCTATGTGGATGTTAAGTAAAGCTTGTTTTTAAAGACTAAGACTAAACACAAAGAACACTTTCATGTCATCACAGTACAGAAGCAAACAGGCATTATATCAACAGCTGTAAGACTCAGTTTTCAACATCAAGAAAAACATCCTCAAGACAGGGTCATAGTTCAGTGGTATGATGCCGGTCTGGTACACAAGACCCAGGTTCCATTCCTAGCACCACAAAAACAGGTAAAACCACCAGTGTGTGAGGCTGGGGAGATGGCTCCGCGGCGAAGAGCCTGCTGCTCCATTGTGAAGATCAGAGTCCAGATCCCAGCATCCATATTGGGCGGCTTACAAATGCCTGCCACTTTAGCTCCAAGAGACCCAACAACCTCTTCTGGCTTCCACAGGCACCCACAATTACACACACTTTTGCATATTCTCTTTCTCAGGCACACACATACACACACAAATCAAACTGAGAAAATTTAAAACTGACTACTGTGTTGCCTCTTCCTAGTTCTCTACCATTGAGCTACAACCCCAGCTCATTTGTTATTATTTTTTAATAATTTTTTTGGAGACAGGCTTCTTTGAACTCACTCCATAGCCCAGACAGGACTTGAATTTGAGATGTACCCGACTCAGCCTCGTGAATAGCTGGAATTCCTAGGCCACCTGGCCTGGCCTCTTATAGCTTTTGAAAACAATGTACATATGTTTTTGATTTTAATAAAAATTGAAAAGAAAAAGAATGGATAGTGAGGATCATCAGAGCCTAGGAGTGTGAAATAAGCACAAATTTAAGATAAGCACAAGACATGTTCCCGACTCTCAGGAGTCTGTCTCTACTGTAATAACATAAAGGAGAAAATTAAAGAAAGGTCTAGAACAGTCAAGTACCTCTAACCCTAGAGCAGGGCTGACCTCAGACAGGAAGATCACTGGGTCAGGCAGCCTGGTAAGAAAAAAAAGTGATGGCAAAGGAGACACTGCCTCAAGGGAATAAGGCAAAGGGAAACAGGGAAAGACACTTGACCACTGGGCTCCAAACATTTGCATACGTGAACACTGGATGTGTGTACCTTATCTGCTTACCCACTCGGGGACAGAGACAGAGAGAGGATGAGGAAAGAGAGGGAAGGAAGGGAGAGAGGGAGAGGACAGAGAGAATAGGGAGAAAGACAAACACACATTGAGAGAGGGAATGGAGCGTGGGGGAGACAAGGAGGGATCAGTATTTTCAAGTCAACAGGTAAGATTCTAAGGCTTATCTCTGAGCAGCAGGAGCAAGACAGAGGGTTCCAGAAAAAAAATGGCTAACAGGACTGAACGATGGAGGTGCACTCCGGGAGGAGGACACAAATGGACTGCAGACTGCCACAGAGACCAAAAAATGAACCAAGGATGATGTTAAAATCTGGAAAAAAGAGAGGCACATGAGAAAGAAATTGTAGTCACATGGCATGGGACTCTTTAATGGCAATATGGCCAGAGTCAGAAGCCTGAAGCAGTATACCATCTACAGACATGTTATGTTGCAATTACCAGGGAAGGGGGGAACAAGGCTGGTGGCACACAGCCGAGCTGCGTACAGCTGAGCTGCAGGCTCTTGCTGCAGGCACTCAGGTGCTGAGACAGCCGAGGCCACAGCAGGCCACTGTAACTGCTCTAGACCACCTTTTCCTAATCTAAGCAAAGACCCGATAGAGGATGCTGCAGTCCTGGGGACAGCAAGTGCAGCTGTGTTTATAGCCAGTCTTTAGCCCACCACCAATCAAGAAACGAAGTCTCACAAGGAGGGATCAAGAACAACAGAGTGCAAGTTAGGGGAAGAAAGAGTTTCACATTGAAAAGTACAGCAGTTACTCAAAGAAATGCCTTCATTGGCAAGGGAATACCATCCTTCACATGCTTGACAACAGAACTAAAGCCAGGTCAAGCACTTCACGCAGCAAGGCCAAGCCACTCACCCGGAAACGATGTTGTAGTTGAGAGCAGGATGGTTTTTCGAGACAGGAGGGACGAGAGGTTCTGGCTGCCACTCTTCAATCAGTTCCTCCTTTTCCTACAGAAGAAAGGACATCAGAGTATGGTGTAGCCAGAGTCATCTCACACTATCTCTGGTGATGCCTGACTGTAACGCTGCAACAATGAACAATGCGCCACAGAAACACCCCTGCCAGCTGTTGTGGAGAACAAAGGCCATCCTTCTTGAGTTCTGGGTACTTACCATCCTCACCTCTTTCCTTATTACAGCTCACACCTTTTTTTTTCCATGTAGTTTCTGGGTAACCTGACAACTTAAAAATCTTATTTCTATGCCCGGGATTTCTTCCATCTTACTACACATAACACATCTAAATTCTACTTGAGATGTGAGTGTTTCCAACCCTGAATCCCCTTTCTGAAGACCACATGAAGAACTCTCCTCTAGGCCACAGGGACAACTCCTATAACCTGTGTGTAGACACTGGCATCCAGTTGCTGCTCATGCACCCCTCAAACCATCTACTAGCAGGTTGCTGTCTCCTCCAGTGTGGCTTTCCTCAAACCTTGCTTACTCAGAAATTCCATACTCCCTGCTCTCTTCACATTCAACGTTTTAACATACCCTGCAGAGATGAGTTCTAGTGCCCTACAGGGACACTATAGAAAGATGATGTAGCTGCCACATTCCTTGAATAAAACAAGCGCCATTTTTTACCTTGGCTGTAAGATCAGAACGCTCTTGCAATTTGTAGGTTTTAGAGAAAACCAGTCTGATTATCCAAAGTATTAGAATCCCCTCCAGAATAAGATGGTATGCTGGAGCCTGCAAGGGAGAAAAGCAAAAACAAAGGAAAGAAAGCAAAGAAGTCACTTGGAAGCCTGCAGGGACATTCAGCCCACCACAGCACTGCCTCTCTGACCACCACACTATTCCCACATACACCTTACTGACAGGGCTTCCTTAATGACTCTTCATGCCTCTCCACCTAAACAACTGCCAGTTACTCCATCACATGAAAAACCCCTAATACTTCAGCTTTAAAACCTTTCAGTAATGAAAATGAAAAAGAGGTAAGACCTGACACACAATCCCAACACTTAAAAACAACTCTATCACACTGTTCAGATAATTTACATTTTTATTGGCAGGGAATGACTATAACAGCACACACCTAAACACACTTCTATAGCCTTTGACTGCCCATGGATAAGTTAACAAAACTATGTGGAAAGCAGCTTCCACAATTAAATTTTGCACCTTACTGAATTTTCCATACCCTGCTAAATCTTTTTTTTTTAAAGATTTTATTTATTTATTATGTATACAACATTCTGCTTCCATGTATATCTGCACACCCGAAGAGGGCACCAGATCTCAGAATGGATGGTTGTGAACCACCATGTGGTTGCTGGGAATTGAACTCAGGACCTCTGGAAGAGCAGTCAGTGCTCTTAACCTCTGAGCCATCTCTCCAGCCCCCAAGAAGTGTATCCTGCTAAATCTTCTTAAATCTTAGACAAGGAAGTGTTAAGTATGGGTGAGGTGGCAATAATAAACGCTGAAAGAAAATCCCTTCTCTTTTCTATGGTGTCACCCACAGGATGCCAACCTGTCCCATGTTGATAGGTACAAAGATATCTTAATTTTTAATGATTTTTATTACTTTATTTTCATGTGTACAAGTATTCTGTCTGCAAGTATGTCTGTCTACCACAGGTGTGCCTGGCACCCCCCAGAGACCAGAAGATTCCCCCGGAACAGGTTACAAATGACTGTGAGCCATCATGTGGATGCTGGCAATTGAATCCAGACGCTCTGGAAGAGTTGTAAGTACTATTAAATGTTGAGCCATCTTAGTAAGATGGTTTCTTGGCTATTCTACTATTTTGTCTGTGTGGTCCAACACATAGCCACTAGTCATATGTGACCACCGACATTCACACTGAAGTGCAATTACAAATTCGTTGCCAGTGCCTACTTTCACGTGGCGTTAGTGACTGCTGTGCTGAAGAGCCCCTGAGGCAGAAGACACACCAGTTCTAGAGGACATAGCAGGGAAGCTCAGTTATTCAATAAGCCAGCATTCTCCCAGGGCTGGCACCCGTAATTCCTATTTTCTTACACAGCTGAACGAAGCCACCCTAACCCTTCAAGTATTCTTTAAAACATCCTTCAAGACGTTATGCGTATAACACAGAAATTGTGGGCAGAAGAACGGCTGGTCCGTTTTCATAAATTCCCAATGATTCTGCTTCTCTGAACCACTCTCCCCCGACCGGGCAAAGTTTACAGTTTATGAAAAAGGCATCCCCCCACATCTGAGGCCGCCCACGCCCACAAACCCGGTCTCGCCATCAGTTCCAGCCGTGGTTGCGAGGACTCGCGTGTCCTCAGCACCCCTCCCAAGGGCTGCTCGCCGGAGTCCGGCGTGAGTACGGCCGAGGCTCCGTCCCCCGTGCCCCCGTCCCGGGGGCGGGAAGCACCGCGGATCCGGGGCGCAGGTCGCTAGGCCCCGGCCGCGGGCTCACGGGAGGCTCCGGCGACGGACGCACCTCGTACAGCGCCTGCACCATCTCCACCAGCACCCACTGCTCCGCCGCCATCGCCATGGTCAGACACCCGGCTTCCGGCAGGCGGGTCACAGACGCGTCAAATAGTGCGCGGCGCGGACTAGTGGCGTCACGAAACCTCGGGGGCGGGGCCGCCGGAAGTTGGGCGTTGCCTCGTCGCGCGAGTCGGTTGCTCGCGGACCCGGCCTTGGAGACGCAGGTTCGGAGCCCTGAGATTTGAATGGCGTCGCGCCGTGGACTTTTGTTGAGAGAATCAGTACGTGGCCTTTGTTCTTGACAGTCGGCTGTGCGCAGGGTTTTTAAGATAAATGATATTAGGCCGGGCGAGGTGGCGCAGGCCTTTAATCCCATTTGGGAGGCAGAGAGTTCCAGGCGAGCCTGCTCCACATGGCCTGTAAAACACCAAGCCAGCCAGGGACACAGTGAGACCCTGTCTCAAAAAATACACACACACATACACAATTAAAACAACAAGAGGGAAATATGCCCTTCCCTTTTAATAACAAGCAATGCAGTCATGCAGCATTATTAAAACAACCCACAGAAATCTACGTAGTTTCTTCCTCAGGGCGAGTCGGGAGCCCTATTTCATAATGTAGGTATGTGTGGTTATCCTCATGATGAAGTATGGTCAAAAAGCTACTGTGAAAATTTAGATGCCAAGTTTCATGTGCACACCAATTTACATTTCCTGAGACTTGTCCAGAAATACCATTGGGATAGTGATTTTATTTTAATTTTTAAAGGGGAAGAGAAGTAAATTAGGGCTGGAGAGAGAGCTCAGTCAGGAAAGAGGAACAGAGTTCAATCCCCGGCACCCACGAAAGCAAATAAATAAATAAGTAAAAATAATAATAATAATAATAACCCCCCCCCCCCCCCCGGTCTCTCTGGGGGGGTTCCCCCAAACCCCCGCACACCCAAACACTTGTTTTCCACAGAGATCCTTATTACGTGGGGAAGAAAGGTTAAAGTGGCTGCTTTCTGACTTAGGAGAAAACAGCAGCAGATGACCTTGCAGGTGTCATTGTTAAGAGGAGGAAAACGGAGGTCTGTGTTAGAATGGGCTAGGATGAGGTGGTAAGAAGATAAGGTGAAGGGTATTTGTTCCAGAGGGACAAAGGACGGCCTCTGGATAGAGAGGAGACAGACATTAACAGCATCCACTCAGCTTTCTGTGTGGAAGGCAGGTATTTTATTTCCTCCATCGAGGAGACACCTCTTGATTAACCATCCTGGTTTCCCTAGTGCTTATTTGTGAATACAAGGAACTCATGCCCTCCACAACAGGGCGCACACAGCCTGAAAAGCCACTGTTTCACACATTATGGAGTAATTTAGAACAGATCTCGATAACCAGTAATTTAGCCTGATCTTAATACCTGTTCTGCCTTCCTCTTCACCGGTAGCTGTTTCCATCATGGCTGCAAGCACTAGACCATTATTACCAAATGCAGAAACTGCTATTTTCTCCCAAAGAGAATGGGGATAAATTCACTCTGACTTTTCTGCTTATTCTTAGAAATGAACAATACTATATCTCTCATCCCTAGATAAATTCCTTTTGGAATTTCTACTCTTTGGCAACATAGTAATTGTGGTAGTTGCCATTTTTGAATGCCACTTAAAACTAGAACAAGGGGAGTGGGTACAATGTGACATTTTCATTGATGCGCGCATTATGTACATAGCCAAACTAAGGCCATCAGCACATCCATCATAGTCATCATTTGGGAATGAGTGTTTCTTTGCAGTGACAACTTCCAGAATCCTCTCTTGTAGCTGTTTTGAGACATGGAGTATGTGGTTGTTGGTCATGGTCCCCTCACCGTGGGAACAAACAACATCTATGCCTTCTACCTATTACTTTTTACCCATTGCCCCACCCCACACTTTACTTCAACCTCTAGTAACCATTATTCTACTTTTCACTGGCCTTGAGATCAGCTTCTATGTTTAGATGACACATATGGATAAGATTATTGCTTTCAATGTAAAAACACAGCGTTCACTTCAAAGGGGACAAAAGCAAGTTTATTTCCTAGCCAAACGTGAGCGATCAGTGACCTGAGGACACAGATTCAGGTTACCCCAAATTCCATATCCCAACATGAAAACAGTTTGATGAAGTTATTTATAACAACAGAACAAAGAATCCTTAAACCAAGGTACTTTCAAAATACGTTGGTGGAAGCATGAGGGAGGTGGGTGGGAAGCTGGAGAATGTCTACTCCAGGCCTCAGGTGCCATCCGATGACACCCTTGGCCTTTTGGTCTGTTAAGTGAGTGTACTACATAAGGTTATCAGTTACAAGCATTAGGACAGACACAGGTGGCAATGAATGGCTATGAAGAGGGCTGAAGACAGCCCAAGATAAGTAGTTATTTAGGCTCTGAATTGAAGCTGTGATCATATACAGCTCAAACTAAGAAGCGGGTTAGCTGATCTCAGGAGGCGTCTCTGTAGGAGAGCAGTCTCTGGCTGCATTGTCCTGGAGGAAAAGCTGTAGCTATTGCTTTCTGCACCTGATGATTTTTGCTACAGGTGAGCTGCTGGTCAGTGCCTGTTCTCCAACCAGAGGAAGGCCCTGCCCTTCCCATGAGTGAGACACATGGTGGCACCAGTGTCAACAGAGCATATTCACTCAGACTTCAGCTTCGAGTTGTTCAGCTCTGGGTCTCTGTATTTTCCACATTGACTGCACGGGGAGGCTTCTCTGATGATGGCAGAACAAGGCATTGGTCTTCTTATGAGTACAGCAGAATATCCCAGGGAATCATTTTATTGCTATGCTCCTTTAGCAGAACCAGTATTTGGTTTCTCCCTAGGTCACTGGCTTATCGAGTCTCAGGTTCTTGGCCACCTAAGCAGTGTCAGGCCTGGGTTTCATCTCATGGAGTGGGCCTGAAATCCAGTCAACTATTGAATGGCTACTCCCACAGGCTTTGTGCCACCATTGGACCAGTGCACCTTGCAGCCAGGTGATCATTGTAGATGAAAGATTTGTAGCTGGGTTGGTGCTAACTTTTCTCCTTTGGTAATGTACAGAGTTCCTTCCAGCACCATTAACTCTAGTATGGGTTAAGGCTAGTATGGGTAGGTAGCCACCAGCTTGACTTCTCGGTGTTCATTGGGTTGTGTAGGTGTTGTCTTCAACAGCAGGGCCGTACCATCAGTTTGTGGAGAACACCCATTAACCTCCACATATGCATATATTTTAGGAAGCTTCTACTATATTAGGTTTACATATAACCCCTCAAGTTTTAGCTGTCCCCTCCCATGCTCTCTTCCTAACCCTCTCTTTCTCCCTCCCCATTTGACCCTCCCCTTCCTGTTTCCCCACCCATCCATCCATAGATATCGATTCCGTTCACCCTGCCTTGGGAGATTCATCCCTCCCCTGTAGGCCTTTCCTCCATCTAACCTCTGTGGTTTTATGGATTAACTTGCTTATCGAAGACTTAACAGTGAATATCCCCCCCCCAAAGCAAATATGTATTTGCTTTTCTGGGTCTGGGTTACCTCATTCAGGATGATTTGTTTTTGTTTTTGTTTTTGTTTTTTCGAGACGGGTTTCTCTGTATTGTTTTGGAGGCTGTGCTGGAACTTGCCTTGTAGACCAGGTTGGCCTCACACTCCTGCCTCTGCCTCCCAAGTGCTGGGATGAAAGGCTTGTGCCACCAACGCCTAGCCAGGATGATTTTTTTTTTTAGCTCCATCCATTACCTGCAAATTTCATGATTAACTTTTTAATGACTGAATAATATTCCATTATGTAGTTATACCACATTTCTTTGTCTTTATTGGTTGACAAACAAGGAGGTTGTTTCTATTTCTGACAATCATGAATTGAGCAGCAATGAACATGGATGTTGAAGTATCTCTGTGGTAGGATGTAGCATATAGCTGGATCTTGAGGGAAATCTATTACTAGCTTCCGGAGGAACCACCACACTGATTTCCATAGAGGTTATACAGTTTGTCCTCTTGCCAACAATGGATGAGTGTTCCTCTTGGTCCACATCCTCACCAGCATGCGCTTTCTTGCTTTATTGGTCTTGGCCATTCTGACTTGTGTAAGGTGGAATCTCAGAGCAGTTTTGATTGCATTTCCCTGGCAACCAGAAGTGATGAGCTTTCTTTAAGTGCTTCTGAGATACTGTGTTTCCTCATTTGTTTAGATCTGTACCCATTTTTAAAGTGGGTTATTAGTTTTCTTGATGTGTGTTTTTGTTATTTATATATTTTGGATATTAGCCCTCTATTGGGTGTGCAGTTGGTAAAAATCTTTTCCCATTCTGTAGCATGCTCCTTTGTCCAAGTAACAGTATCTTTGCAATGTAGAAGCTTTTCAGTTTCATGAGGTTCCCTTTGTTAACTGTCATTCTTAGAGCCTGCGAAAACAGTGTTCTGTTCAAAAAAGTCTTTTGCTGTGCCAGTGAGTTCAAGACTATCCCCCACTCTTTCCTCTGTCAGATTCAGTGTATGTGGCTTTATGCTGATGTCTTTTATCCATTCAGAGTTGAGTTTTGCACAGTGTTATAGTAGTGAATCTATTTGCATTCCTCTCCCTGCAGCCACCCAGCTTAAGCAGAAGATGCTGTAGTTTACCAGTGTGTATTTCTGGCATCTTAAACAATAAAGATCAGGTGTCCATAGGTGTATAGACTTATGTGTGAGTCTTCAGTTTGATTCCATTGATAAACATGTCTATTTGTGCCAATGTCATACAACATTACTATATCTCTGAAGTACAATTGAAGATTGAGGCTGGGGATCCCCCCTGCAATTCTTTTATCATTAAGGGGTATCTTAGCTGTCCTGGGTTTTTTGTGTTTCCATATAAAGCTGGAAATTGTTCTTTCAAGATCTGAGCAGAGGGAAGTTGTTGTTTGTCCTGCCCCCTGGTGGCCATGCGCTGAGCGGGCATGGAGGTTGGCTGCGGCGCGATGGCCACGTTCCGGGCCATCACCTGTGATGATCTGTTCCGCTTCAACAACATAAAAAACAAAGTAAAACCAAGAATTATTTATGAAGAAAAAGA